GGGGGGGGGGGAGGAGGGGGGGCGTAGACGGTGACCGGGGTACTCTACTGACACGAAAAAGGCGGCATGTTTACTGGTTTTCCGGTCAGTCGCTGTGGGCATTGCGGCCATATAGAGCAAAGCAATATCGTCATAAGCGATTCCGAAAGTATGTGTGGGTCATTCTCTTTGTTGGAGAATGGGCCGACCCGAAGACAACATTGGTAGACTACGAAGTCTAGTACCATACACGCACACACCATGATCGTTGAATAGTTGCAAGCAGGAACCGCTGCGCGATTCGCGGTGGAATCGATCGCTGTGCCATCCCGAACGTGCCAACGAAACAATACAGGAGACTAAACCCTTTCCTTACGGGGGACCGTACCGTTTCTCGCAAACTTTGACCGCACACCACGGAACACAGGTACCGTTTCGCGCTGCAGGACGTCCGCACGGTGTTGACAATGCCACAGGACAAGGTGGGCTCCGCGAACCTTTCCCTGGCCAACGGGATGCAGCACCGCCTTAACAGGGTAGTCCAGCAGCTGAAGAACGCCAGCTGAAGCTAGAGCTGGTCTGTGGTTTGTGAGCGCTCTGGCAGGGGGTGGAGAGAGGAAGGCGGCCTGACTTGACTTGCGGGGTCAGCCCACCTGGGGCGAGCCCCTGCGCGTTTTATTTGCTTTGGGGTGACAGTGTGTGCGGGATGACGGGCTAGCAAAGATGCGGTCACGCACGTCCTCGCGGACCAGGAAGAACAACGTTCGCGGTATTTCCCACGGTGCTGCTTATTTTCATGTCCTGGGGTGTGTGTCGTCGAGTTTTGCTGCATGCGGGGCGCACCCCAGCATGGAAGTGTGGCACGATTTACGTTGGCGCAGTCACCTGGCTGAGAGCGCCACGAAACCGTACTTCGTCTCCTAAAGGAAATACTAGGGGCAAAAAGTAGGAGCCTGTGCATGCCAAGGGACTAATACATCAGGTTGGCACGCCAGGTATAGGGCTGAATCGCATGTGCCTGAGAGGTGGGATACCTAGTTGGATCGTTCACGTCGTGCGAAATCTGCACCGGTCTTGTTCTGAAAAAGCTTGTCATTGTTTGGTTTCTTGTGCGGGGATGCAGCGGGAAGGGGGGGGGGACGGGTGCAATTTTGTCCGGTCCGTCGAAGGCATACGTCGCTCGTTGCGTCAGTTGGCTTTTGCCCGTGTGAAGAGGAAAATGTTGCTCGGTAATATGTTGGCCGCGCTTCTACATCACTCAGCAACGGCGGCGGCGGCGGGGTGCCGCGGTGATTATTTCGACGAGACTTGGGGGGGGGGGGGGTACGGAAATAGGCAACCCCGTCTGAGACTTTGCATTCTCCGCTAAAATCTTGTAAACTATCATGAAGTGTTTCTCTAATGTTCTGTACTCGCGTGTGTTGTCGCAACACATGCCCGCACACGCGTAATCTTCGAACTGTTTTGTGTTCCTACGCATTGTTGCCCTGCAGCTTGTTGTGCTCTCTCGACTGGTCTGTAGTTGTGTGTGTGTCCCCAGCGACAATTGCCTGAACACGTGCGAAAGTAAATGGGACATTAGGCAGACGCACGATAACAGCATGGAGATGACTTGCGCACAGGCGTGGTTGTTTTGGGCTTGTTGTCTTTTTTGTTCCATGTTTAGTCTGGTGGCGTCCTGTGTCAGAGGCGAGCTATTTCCAGGGCTTCTTGACTGGACAACAAGCGTCTGTACAGGAGCAAGGCTCTGACCTCGATTCTTGCGCGTTTCCGAAAACGGGCCACTCGAAAGAATCATCTCGTCCCGCGGGATGTCGGTGCGTCTCTTGAGTTTTGGTGAGGGGTTGTAGGACCGTTTCGGGGGGCAAGCCACCGTGTTTAAGTGCGCAATTCTCCACGCGTTTTCTGCGTTTTCTGTCGGCGAAAACCAGCCTCGACCAGCTTGAAGGCGAGGTGAAGCTGTGGCGTTTGACAAGCGTGCAGAGACAGGGGACAAAGAGAAAAACGTGTTCTGTTTCTGCCTTTCTTTTCCTTGTCGAGAAGATGACCGTGGGATGCAGGGCAACAGGACCCCTAGACTCCTACCAGCTCTCATGTCAATACCATGCCACCCTTTGCCATAGGCATGTTTTGCCCTCCTCTTCTTGGAGCTGACACCCCCCCGCCGCCGAGAGAAACAGATCGTCCGCGTTTCGCATCACCTCTCAGAATGTAACCGCCCCCCGGACCTTTCGTGAACATTGTCTTGATAGAGAGACGCATTGACCCACGGGTTCATAGGTGTAACGGTGTCACCCACGCGAAACGAAGAATTCGGTGTCGCTGATGTTTAATCTATTCGAGAGGTGTACGAACCTGGCCCCTCTGTTTGTCTACAAGCGCACGAGCACCTGGTGAACTCCGTAACGTACCAACCCTTCTCTCTCGCAGTACCTGGTCTACGACATTCTCTCCTTGCCGGGTGACTTTATCTTGCCCCGGGTACTTCATGCCGACCGCTCCAGGTTATTCCGTATTCCGTTGAAATGGACAGCAAGAGACTCCCCCTGTACCTCCCATTGGCACTACTGCACCCGAAACTGAAGCACCTAGCCAGTTATCTACATCGTTAGCTTTACTTCGTCCCTCAAGGAAACCTACCCGGGCATTGCGCGCACCAGAAGTCCATATCCCAAATCCGTAGTCCATTGTCGAGACCTCTCTTTCGGCAAAAATCATCCTTCCTCTCTACTGCTGTAGTGTCGCCTTTGTATCCAGACCTACTCCATTCGAGCCAAACACCTTATTCGTGCAGATCCATCCATCCCTAGTCCAGCCCTCTTCAATTCCATCTCTAGTCTGCATAGTTAAAGCACGGCCAGGCCATGTCGGTACGCACCGAGATGTAAAAGTGCTACCACATACAGCAGTGCTTCCCCGTATCACAAGGCAAAATACATACCCTCTTCCTTCTTTTAGCAAAAATATGTTGTCATCTCTACAAGGTTGGCAATTTATGCACTAGTCTACTGCTATGGTCTACGACCATCCTTTAAGGTCGGACTTCACTTTGGGGAACCTGCATCAAAATCAGGCCAAGTTGGAGAGAGGTCGCAAAGCCAGCCCCCCCCCGCTCGGTCGACTTGACAGACACAACTAACTGGCACATCACAGCTAGCGACGGTAAGCGGCCCGGAAACGGTCTATCCCGAGTCAGTGCCGTACACATCGTCCAAGGTAATCCCGTCTGGCCTACGTGTGGAGTGCGAAAGAGCATACACCACATGGAGGCGGGATTCTATCGTGCAACAGCGACGTGGTGTCCACACACAGTCGGCCACGGAAACAAAACAGCGACCTCTTTTGTCTACGCGCGATACCTTTCTCTAAGCCACCCCGTTGTCAAGGGGAACAGTCCCAAGAGCAAGATGGGGTTGTCAGGGTGGCAGGAGCAAGTTTCCGACGCTATCGCTGAGGGTATCGAGGAAAGCGATCACGGAGTCCTCCTCTTGCTGTGGGGCACAGGCGAATGAAAAACGAACACATACATACGCGGGTGTGTGTGTCAGGGCGGCGGGGTAAGGTGATGGCGTTTCATGCATTGCGTTTCATGCATTGCGTGGGATAGGGCGTGGTGGTGTCACATGCGTATGTAGAGCAACACGTCTCGAGCTTGCACATCGCTGAACACCTTTCGAACCTGCTCACGGCCGATACTTAGCTACATGGATTTCAGAGAACGCCCAGCGCCCCCTCTCGCCGAAACCGCCTGCTACTTGGCAACCCAAGTCCATCCTGTGGTGCAATCGGGCCGCTCTTCCTGGAACTGGGTTATTAACGGGTAACTAGGGGTAAAAGTGGGGGGTTGAACAGGGCTGGTGTGAATTGAGTGCAATTTCGCGTACTATTTGGAAAGATACTATTTACTGCAGGTGGAAAAGAGTGGGAAATATTTGAAACGGTATCTGAACTATCGGAGGGTTACGAGGTGGATCGGTATATATATCGGTGTATGAGTTTGAGGGGATTGGACAGGTCTTTGAGAGAACTGGACGGAATCTTAGATTCGTCGGAACAAAAGTATGGACTGTCAGCAGAGTTGAAGTTGAGAGCAAGATTTTGGGAATTTGTGGACACGTGTACAGATGAAGAGGCACGCACACGAGGTCAGTATTGACCCCGACCAGGAGTCTTCACCCTGTCTTGATGCAGCCGTCGACCGTTAATGATAACTTCTTGATTGCAGATCGACAAGACTTAAAACCTACCACAACAATACCCTTGGCATCAACACAATTCGTGAAGGGAGAGTCAGCACACCCCGAATCCCCGAAAAACCCACCGACTACCTTGATTGAAGTAATAGCACGCAGCATAGCTCACCTTGAGGTAGGCCCTCCATTCCTTCTCCGTCAGCAGGCCGTCGTTGTCCGCGTCGTACTGCCGACATCCCCGCAAACAGCAAGGGAACAGGACGTCGAGGAAGTGACGTCAGAGGAAGGTGTTAGTGGGGGGGGGGGGGGCGGGGATTCCGCAACGTCCAAGTTGGTAGAGATTAGGTATGTCACTCGCGCGCCCGTCCGCTGCCTCTGAGGCCACAAAACCTATCTTCGGGTTCTATTTTAAGGCATGACGTCACAATTACTTGCACAAGAGTAGTCAACGTTCGGGCGTGCCAACATTTCTCGTTCCCGCTCGAGTTGATACAAGACACAAGGTCTCGAACGACAGAAAACACAGTCGGCTGTCTGCCGAACCCGCAATTCAAGGAGATGACAACGTGCGAGCTTCCCTACCGCGAAAGACAATAGCACCAGTGTCGATGTGCGTCCCCTCATAGTAGGAAGACGCCTGATTTCTGATGCATCCAAACAAATAACAGATCGTCCCAATGATGAAAGTACGGTATGGTAAAGCGTTTTTTTCTCTCCCCCCATCTCTCTTTCTCTACTAAACTTGGTTCTTGTCGTCATCCAATCAAATAGAGACCGGCCAACACTACACGACCGATCGAAACTGCGCCTGCCAAACGCACGCGATCTCAACAAGCGTCGACTGTAATACTGTACCGAAAAAACAGCTTGATGCACACGACCCACAACAAACTTACAAAAAATCAAGCTAGCCATGTGAAGATCCAAACAACTCCACCCATGCTCCCTTAAGTTGCTTCGAGTCTGTGGATAGCACTCCGTCAAATCGACTTAATAAAAGACACGGGTCCTATTATGATGCTCCAACAACGGCCTCATCATTTAGCCCGTCAACAGGCCGCCAAATGCTGAAACCAATTGCCCGACCAATCCACGGCCCGACCAATCCACGGCCCGACCAATCCACGGCCCGGATACCCGGCCGCCAGACCAGACCGGTCTACAAATAAACAACACAACATACGGAGTAAAACTCGCTCAGTGGGATAACGATGCGTGTTACCTCGGTGAGTACTACGTCAGCCATCTTGGCAAGGATGCCCCCCAGCTCCTTCTCGAAGTCCGGTTGCTGCTGTTGCCGCTGCTGCTGCTGCTGCTGCTGCTGCTGCTGCTGTAGAGCCCAAGCAGACGACGAACGCGGCGACTCACTGCTGCTGCCGCCGCCGCCACCAGTGACAGCAAGCGCCGGCGGCGTGAGTAACGGCGGAGACGCAGCGATAACGTCCAGGATCAGAGCTTTCAGCCCTTCCCTACCGACGAGCCCGCCTCTGCTAGCGTCTCCGTACATCCTGAAGAGGACTTTTTCGGTGCGTAGCAGTTTCGACATTAGTATTGGCCAGCGACCCGTCGCGTCAAAACCACGAATGGAATCGCAACACCGAGACGAGGTAACGGTGGGACGGGAGAGAGGGGCGTGAGTTCCGCGATTCGTCACACAAAGAGGTTGCATTTTTCCCTTTGTGGCACGGAGCATCTTGTCCATACATTTCGTCTCAGCTTGGACAACAGATACCCCTCGCTTGCTGGATCGCGCGCTCCCTTGGTTCTCAAGTGCGGGGGGTTCGCTCTATACACTCTCAGCCAATCGACCGCTTCGACGCAAAACACAAGCAGTGAAATCAGACCAGTTCGTGGCCGCAGCAAGAGCATGCGTCACTCGAGTACACAGTAGCTTACGTTCGAGCTTGGTCTGGTGTGGAGAGCCCTTGAGAAGACATGCCGCGCCGGCGAACTCCTGCGGATGTGCGGTTTGGCATCAGCATGCCTCGGCACGCAGGTTAGGTACAGCGGGTTTAAAACAGGACACGGTGCATTATTGGTACGCAGACGGGGCGATATAAACATAAAGGGAGAAGACCGGAATAGAGGGACGGGGGGGGGGGCGGAGTTCGTTATCAGTGAGCGGTGAGGTCTAGCACGCAAGCAAACGTCCATGGGCGCCGAACGTGAAGGGATCTCCCCACCATCATGAAGTAGACAAGGTTTACACACCTCTTTGTGTGCGCTGTCAACACGTCCTTCTTCAGCTTCCTGGCACTCACTGCTGACGTGGGAACTGCGAATCTATCGCTCTGTTTCACACGGCAAAGCGATCGATCCATGTTATCCTACACCGACCGCGACCTTGCGTCCAACGCTCACCAATCGTTCTGCCTGACATCATCCTTTGATGTTTGCGCAGTAGGCGTGCATCAAACGTGCTGATCCGCCTGTCTCTGCCTCTAGTCTGCTGCCTCTCTCTGCCTCTCTCTGTCTCTCTCTGACTCTCTCTCTGTCTCTCTGTCTCTCTGTCTCTCTCTCTCTCTTTCCCCCTGCTCGCCACCCCTTGGCGTCATACCACCTCAATATTTCCCGCGCTCGCACGCAGTCGGTCCTACGGCAACAACAAGGCGCGACGGCAGTAGCACAACAGCAGTACCTCGAAGCTTAACCTGCCGTCCCCGTTGGCGTCCAGCACGCCGTACAGCCTCTTCGCCACCTCCGCACCCCTCGGCCCCGGCAAATACCACCAGTCGTCGAAAAAGACGAAGCACTCCTCCTCTTCCTTCTCCTGCTGCTGCTGCTGCTGCTGCTTTTGCCGGACGTGGCCCTCCGAGGCTGTTGTCGCCACTGCCGCACCTCGTGGTGGTGGTAGTGGTGCTTCCGATGCCGGGAGCCCCGCGAGTTCCTCGAACCTCTCGCGCAAGGCAGGGAGTAGGTCGTCGAGGTCTTTCGCCGCCCGCGGCGCGTTCGCAGAGCTGTCCTTCTGGGACGCCGAGGTGTTACCCATGGGGGCCTTACACGGCCCTGCTGGTGTTTATCGTCGTGGTTGGCCTGTACGGATTGTAGTAGAGGACAGATGACGCAAGATGCGTTTTTTATGTCCCGACCAGACGTGCACCAGATTAGGGGAGATTACTTCCAAGGACCAGCGCAGCATCGCATCTCTCGTTCTTACGGCACATTTGCCTTGCACAACCATCTCAACTTTATGTAACGATCTTGATTTGTGTTTTTTTTTTGTCTCCCACGACGTGGACGTCAACGAACTCTATCTTGTGCGCAGTAAAACAAAGGTGAGACCCATGTGTATGGTCGCCAAATCTTTGCGAAAATGTCAAAAATTTTCAAATATTTGCGGAACAAGATCTTGTTTCACTTTTTATGGGAGAAAATCTTTGGCAAAATATTCCCAAAGATTTTCAAATGGGGCAAAAGTCGCTCGTTCGACAAAATGTTCGACAAACATTTTGAAATGGGGCAGGTCGCGAAAATCTTGTCCGAAAGCGGCGAGATTAGTAGCCAACCGCCCCTTCCGTCCTAAACACCAACCACTGCGCAGCGCACACTCAACGTAGCAAGCTTGTAGAGGGATCCGGACAACCCTAGAGTCACGGTGTCAACGTTTTGCCGGCTGATACATGGCGGGAGCTCGTCAAGCGTGCACAAAAAGCAAACAGGCGGGTGGTTTGGAGGGCACGGAGAAAACGTGGTTTGTGTTTCCGAACGGCAAAAAGTCGGCGGCTCGAGAGGAGACGTGAGTACAAAACTATCCAGCTCTCGTCCTCTAGACCATCGATTCATGTTTTGTCTTCTTGGGTGTCTTCTCCATCAACGGCTCTCATCCGGTTGTGCGTGGTTCAGCAGTGGACGTACTGAAGAGGCAGGGAGGCGCGTCGCTGTGAAGTCGATGTGTTGAAAAAGTATTTTTTGGGACGGAGGAACAAGCCCTCTATATTCAATTGAAAAATAGACAGGTCAAAACGTTGTGTCCACAACTTTGTGCGCACAACGATGTGCCTCCCTGCCCACTGAGCACGGCCACTGCCAACCCGCGCGCAACCGGATGAGAGTCGTTGATGGAGAAGACACCCAAGAAGACAACACGTGAATCGATGGTCTAACGGGCCAGAGCTGGATAGTTTTGTACTCACGTGTCCTCTCAAGCGGCCGACTTTTTGCCGTTGGGAAGCGCTGACGCACGTTTTGGTATCTTTTTGACACCGTGAACATGTTTTCTCGCACGCCCGGAGCGCTATCGCCACATATTGGCGGGAACAGCATCAGCTCAGCGCATCAAGGGTTGTCGGGAGCCCTTTGCGAGCTCGTTACATTCAGTTTCCATGACGCATTTGTGGTTTGTATGTCACAAATCGTTTGGTAGTAGCAGACCACGATTCCCGCCGCACTTCTGATGCATTCCGAGAAAACCACACGATCAGATATTTTTGCGCATAAAAGCGATACTCAAATGTTCCTCTGGCAGATATTCGCGCGCAAATGTTGGACAACATTTGAAGATAAATTTCCAAGATTTTGAGACCATAAACGGTCTGACGCGCCGTGCAGTAATGACTTCACTTCCACCACTAGCTGGGTTTATCGGCGGGCTTCCTCTCACGTGTACAGTGTGTCATATCTTCCCCGATCGAAACAGAAACAGCAGACGATGAGTCTTCCGGCGACACGCTATTGTTTTACGTTCGTCTGTCATCCACAGGTACGGGCTTAAGGATACTTAAAGAACCAGATCCACGCACCGCCGTTTTCGTTCCTGAGTTTTTGTTGTCAAAACAGTACGAGCCATACATACAAGTACACATATATCAACGAACACATAGTCTAACATAAAAAACGGACTTCAAGCCGTTCGAGATATTCATTCTGAGAGATGTGTTGAAGTCTTTACAGCAGTGAATGGGGAAGAAACCTGCCGATACTGGGCTTCTTTGAGCCCGTTTAAGCCTGAAGGATCAGTGATGTTCTCTCCGCAGACCTGTGCGTACCACCGACGCCTCCGTAGGATGGCAGCAACTGTGTCGATTTTTCGAAACAATGAACTACAGCAGTAGCTCCTTTGTTCCTACAGCGTCTGGATCGTAGAGACAGGGTGTGGACGCCATCATCTCTAACACTCGCCACCTCGGTAACTCTGCTGCTCGCAGAACCCACGTCGAAAGGGCACACACCTGCTGCTTGTCGTCGTTGAGGTTGTCAGCAGGAGATGTGGTTGCACATTGACTTTGCTGTTGCTGTTGCGGTTACGTTAATACCGCTGCCGTTGCTGTGGGGAGCAGCCGGGTTCAAGGTATGTCGTAGGGATCTTCTCTCCAGGCGTACCCAGGGGGGATGGTGACTTGCAGGGTGTGGCAACAGCAGTGTACAAAAAACAAAGGACCACGACGACGTGCACCTACTCCATGCACTGATACCCTACATGCGAAAATGAAACACGGGGCCGCTGTTCTCTGCGAGATCCGAGATCCGCACCCCAGACCCACACCACCACGCACGGCTGGATGCGCTGATTGAACGACGGATGAGACAGAAGTTAGAGATATATATATACATCACAAAGGAGAGGGACAGGGGCACGTGGGTACGATGCGTCCGGGAAGTCGGGGCTATGTCGGTGGAGGCCTACAGCCTCCTGGGACAGGGATGAGGATGGCAACAGGTATGCCCGCGGGAAGTTGCGCCGCATCATCGCCAACGAGAGATCGGCGATCGGAGTGCCACGCCTCCAAGATCCTAGCTACATCGAGGAGGATTGAGCACCTCAAGCTCCATCTAGACTTCTTTTCGGGAACGTATCTATTCAACTCATCTCCGACTTTCACCTCTCTCTTTCTCTCACCACCTCCTCCGTGGGTCTCCTCTCTGTATGCATTGGGATGCGGGATCTCTTGTTGGATCCATTTTGCATCCACCCGAATCACAAAAAACTCACCATCAACCACACACATGAACGCAGGGCAGCGCGGAGGGCGTCCCATGTCCGGCAGGATGAGGACAGGACAAGTCACGGCCGGGCCAAGTCGGGAAGCTGCCTACGGGGTTGCCTTGTCGCAGGAGGTCAAGGTTACAGACCGCCCAGTGACACAACAGGTACAGCAGTAGTCTAAGTAGGAAGTACGGTACGCGTGCCGCCGAAAACATTTACTCGGTGCTGTGGTGCGAGGAAAGTACTCTCAGGAGTAATAGGAAAAATAAATACACACATAGAAAGACTACCCGTTCAAGATATACCCACAGCAGTCGAACGGGATGTGGTGGAGTCTTTTCAGTGATTGAGTGGAGGAAAACCGGCTGAGTACTGGACTTATTTCGAGTCTGTGGAAGTCTAGACACTTGAGAGTCTGGGTCTCGATTGAGTTGGTGCAGATACGGATTCCCGGGCGTTCTCGATTCTGGATAAGATTCGCTTCCCTGCCTCGAACCAAGTCCTTGTGTTGCATCAATGACATACACAGATCCATGTACTTTGTGGCACATACCAATTTTTAGGGTAGCTTCCGAGCTTTGGGCATAATTCCGGTGCCACTCGAACATGCAGACTGATAAATAAATGAGAGAGACTGTTCTGCGGGCCGCTCCTTAGAATTCGATTCGCTGGTGTTGTCGTGTTTTGTGTTGTTCACGGCGGGAGGCGCGGAAGGGCAAATGTTTGAGATTCAGCCCCTCTCACCTGTCCGCGTCGTTCCCCTCGATGGCTTCGGGGGCTGCTGTAACTGGACACGTCGCACGTTGATCGTTAGCATTGCCAATGGTGCATTTTTATTGGTTGATTTCCTCTGCGGGATCTCCAGAAAGTACCGTCGGCGACACAGAGGCGACACAGAGTGCCCTCTGCTCCGTTCCTCCTTGCTGCTCTCGCCGCACCTTGTCAAATCCGATGCTAGGATATACACCACATCCATCCGCTGTTGCATTTCCAGGTGCCATGCTTGATAAAAGTGTCGAAGTGCTACTAAATAACGTCTGCCCCACCTAAAAGCAAAATAAACAACGAAACGCGAATAAAAAACAAAAACACAGGGAATGTCGGGCATGAAAACAGCCGGCGGCGGCGGCGGCGGCGGTGGCGGTGGCGGCAGGCAGGTCCAAGACGGGTCCTTCTTCATCGGGGTGCTCCGGAGCAAGATGAACGACGTCCGCGCCGAGCTGGGGCGCCTGCAGGCCGAGATAGATCGGCACGAGAAGAGCGTCTCGCAGCAGGGGCACCTGGAGCGCACGTACGACACGATGTTGCAGGTGAGCGAGGTTGATGCTGCATGGGTGTAGGTTGTGCGAGTACCAAGATCTTGCTTTTTGATTTGGTATCTATAGCATATTTGTGTGTGTGTGGCCACGGAAAGTGTGCTTCTTTACCTGCGCGGAGAATGGAGGAGGTACTCGGTAGAGGTCAGAACTGTTCTTGGTACGAAGGCAGCAATAATATCGAACAGCTGCAGCAGTCCTGTCAGCCTGAGCTCAGACTCGGTCGCGCGACACTTAGGTTGGTGAAGGGAGAGTTCGAAGTCAGTCCTAACCGTTCGACTCGAAGATTTCGAAACACTGCTATTACACGAACAGAGGAGTCTGGGTCGCGCGCCCGGGATGGTGATGTTCACGTCTAGTCGGCAAGTAGAAGCATGCAAGAGCTGTTTCCACTCGTGTGTACCGCGACGGCTCTTTTTTTCCCGACTCACACCGAGAGGCACGCTATTTGCAGACAAAAAATGACAGCTATTGTGCCTTTGGATCAAAGATCTGGGGCAGGTCACTGATAGAGACTGGGCTGGAGGCGCACTAGGGACGTGGTGGTGCAGTCTTGATGTGCAGTCTTGTGCATATGGTTCATTGTGCCATAATTGGGGCCACTGTTGTAAGTAGCATGGTATTCCCTACTCAATATACTATGACCATGCTTTCGCTCCTGATTTGATTTCACAGACAACACACCACAAGACAATGTTCTATTAGAACTCGTCGTTATTTTTTGTGCCTCACAGCATCCCTTTCTAGTTGTTTGAATTTGTTGGAGTCCGAACCACTTGACCCAATCTACGCACTCAGCGTTTGGGCTCATGTTTTTGTGTTCATGGCCAGCCGAGAGAATATACGCCCCGTCAGCAAATGCGTACATGATATCCCACGGAAATATAGGATATCAAAGCGTGACCTTTGGAAGTTTCCACCTCATTCCCCACGTGGGATGGAAAGACACGATGAGAAGTGGTCTCGACTACACCCGTTTTTCAGCAGGCGGAAGGGCCGGAGGGTAGGTAAGACGTGCACCCTACTGTAGCGGATCCGCATACAGAAACGACCGTGGGGCTATTGTCATCATCATCTTTGCGACCCCTCAAAAACGATGGCATGGACACGGAGCTAGTTGCCGATGGCAAGGGGGTAGAGAAGCAAAGCATCCGCTGTCAAGACGTTATGCTTACACCACCAATCCGATCGCTTCCCCCCCCCCCGCGCCCCACCATGCCCATTTGCCTGTTTTCTCTCCATATATGAACCGCGAAAAAATGTTGTGCTCTGTTGTCTTGCACCGCCTCTGGTATCACAGGATGTCAAGGCGCTGGAAGGCACTCTGGCGGACTACAACCTGGCCGTGGATAAGGCTAGGACCACCGCGGACCCCGGCGAGGTCACCAAGTATCTACACGACCTGGAAGACCGGAATAGGTGTGGCTAAGTGTGGCTAGTGTGGCTAGGGGTAGCTAAGAGTGGCCAAATGTGACTAAGCGCGGCTAAGTGTGGTTAAATGTGACTACGTGTGGCTCAGTGTGACAAGTGTCGGCTATGTGTAGCTAAGTGTGCCTGAGTGTGCCAAAGTGTGCCTGAGCGCGGTTATATGTGATTTAAGTGTGGCAAAGTTTGGCTGTGTAGTGGCTGAGTGTAACTGAGTGTGGCTAAGCGTGGTTAAGCGTGGCGAAGCGTGGAGAAGCGTGGCTAAGCGTGGCGAAGTGTGGTGAAGTGTGGCGAAGTGTGGCGAAGTGTGGCTAAGTGCGGCTAAGTGCGGCTAAGCGCGGCTACGTGTGGCTAAGTATGGCTATGTGTGATTATGTCTGAGAAAGTGTGGAGATGTGTGACCAGGCGTGGCTAAGTGTCGCAAAGTGTTGCAACGTGTCGTTAAGTGTGGCTACGCGTGACCAAGTGTGGTTAAGTGTGGCTGCGCGTGACTAGGCATGGCTAAGCGACTAAATGTAGCAAAGTGTGGCTAAGTGTGGCTAAGTGTGGCTAGGCAGTGCTAGCCGGGCCCGGACCGGAAGCGCGGGGTGCGTACCGTTGAGGGGACAGCCAATATCACGCATGTGCGTGGGCAAAACTCACGGATCAGATAGGAGCTTTGTCCGCAAGGGCGTGCGAGACATTTCTGGACTGTCCTTCTCTCGCTTTCGAAGCAAACGGGGACAACGTGCGAAGTGTTGCGGTGTTTATTGGCGGACTTGCCGGAGGCGGCGTTGTTATTGCATAGAAAGGTTTACTCTGTACGAAACGACCACCACCCGTAGGGTAGGGAGGCTAAATCACAACAGTGCCCAAGTACTCAATTCCGCAAAGATTCATCTCGGAACTGCCCCCTCCCCCCGTCGGATGAGTTTCGGCCAAGTACCGATTGCCGAGCCTGGTCGAACCGCCGCCCACCCACAACCATTTTCCCTTGCCTGCGCGCGCACCGTCAGGCGTGAGGCCCAAGGGCTGGACGAGATCTTCCTGGCCAAGCAGCAACACGAACGGGAGACACAGGAGTTGGAGGCAGAGATGGAAGCAGTGCACGGCCGGGTGAGACAAAGGTAGTGGTGGAACAACGAACACCAACAAGAAGAGAGAGTGCCTCTTTTGTCCTGAGATCGGGACATGAACAAACCGTGCAGGAGAAGGGTTTGTCTGAGGGCGAAACGCAGACATGAACGACACCTTCAGTACCCACCCCACCCTCCCCCCTACCGTCTCCACCCTTGGGCAAATGGGAGTAAGTGCAGTAGGATTTTGCTCCATCACCGAGAAATCAAAATGTGCCAAACCATCACGCCGCGCAAACCACTCGTTAACCTTACCCCTCGTGGCGTTTCGTTTCGTTCCGTTCCGTTCCGTTTCGTTCCAAGAAGCAAAAATGTAACGCCTTCCATGTCTGTTCACGGCCGACCTCCACGGCTCACCGCAACCCACAAATTGATAACAACGAAACAAACGCAACGTTTTTCGTGGGAGGATAGATGGAAGAGAAGATCAACACCCTGGAGCCAGAGAAGCTCCACGAGTACCGCGTCCTCCTCCAGCGAAACAACCACCTCCAGGTGGGGTACGGCAACGACTTTGTCGGCGTCAAAAGCCCGTTGTCGTTGTCGTCATCATTGCCTAGTTCTTTGGGTGCAGTAATGCGTTATTCGGCATCGAAAGCCCGTTGTCGTTGTCGTCATCATTGCCTAGTTCTTTGAGTGCAGTAATGCGTTATTCGGCATCGAAAGCCCGTTGTCGTTGTCGTCATCATTGCCTAGTTCTTTGGGTGCAGCAATGCGTTTTTCGGCGTCGGAAAGCGCGTCGTCGTCGTCGTCGTGGTCGTCATTGCCTGGTTCTTGTGGCACACGTCTCACGTCGTTTGTTAGTTCTTCGGTTATCGGCGGTCGGTCGTGTTATTTCGCTGGTGCGATTGACTGCAACCGCAGCCGTGCCGGTGCGGGGACGGACACCTATTATAGGTACGGAAACTACCCCCCAACACCCGTACCTCGTGCGTAAGGGGCGTTGGATGCGACGCGGGATAGATTCGGATAGAATAACCAAACGCTGCCTGGACAAACTGTTCTAAGCTGGTGTGTATTCTTGCGTCTTTTCGGAAGAGGCGAGCAGTACGGGTGGGAAAAGGTATCAACTTTGTGGCGAAGTACAGGCGTCCAACGGGTTAAATGCTGCTCCAGGCGGCGGCGTTGTCGGTGCTTGTCGAGGGGGTGATTGTTCTTCTCGTTTGGCTTCCGGTAGATGCGGATTGCTGCTGAAGTGTTGGTCTTGGAACGGTACCAAACAGCAAGGCCAGCACGCTGCTGACAGAAACACACGCAACGGGCGGGAGGGAGGGGGAGAGGCAGAATCAATCTGTGATCCCGGATCCCGGATCCCGGAGCGACGTTGCGGTGGGGAATGAGAGAAGAAAACCCTCGGGTAGAGCGTCCCGCTGTTGCTGCTGTTGGTGCCACTGCTTCCAAGAGCGGGCAACGACTGGGTACCACCTCACCTCACACCGATGAATCTTTTAAGTGCTGATTAAACGGCGTATGCGACATCTTGTGGCATAGTTAGACATCGATCGATCTTAAGACTGCTAAAGATACGTACGGCTGTCAAACAATTGTTCCATTATTGTCGCTCACAACAACATCCCTCGGTTTTTTTCGTGTCGAACCCCGCTTCGCCGACACAAACTGATAACTTGCACTGGTAACTTGCCTCCCCCCCACCCCCGACGCTCCCGTTCCCACTCCCCCAAAGCCACCGCGCTCCCCCCCCACCTCGTTCAACCCCCCTCCCCCACGACCGTTGTCGCCTAACCCCTATACCGCTTCCGCAGGCGGAAGTGGCCGCGAAGCAGGCGGAAGCTGACCGGCTGTCGGCAATGATCGGGCAACACGAGAGCAGATCCCAGGGCGCGGGGGGGGCGGCTCTGCGTGGGGAGTACCAAGTGCTGGAGAAGTCCGTGGGGGCTCTGCGGCGGGAGCGGGAGAACCTTTCGCAAGACCTCGAGATTTCGAACATGAACCCCAAAGACGTACGTGCGACTGGTGGTGTGTGCTATTAATCGCGTTGCGGTTTTTTTTCTTTGTGCACAAGGTAATCGGTCTGCTGGGTGTGTACCGCAGGTTCTGTTGGTGTGGTTCCGCTTGGTTGCGAGAGCTTTCGTAGACTTCGCCATCCTCCTCGCGCGCTCTGGTTATTCAACCAAAATCAACTCGGATCAACCAATCATCATCCTCATAACAAAACAACAAACCCATTAGACTACACATCAAATCCACCAAAAAAGTAATCTCCACACCAGATTCGCTTGTTGCCGTCTCTGTCAAATCGTTTTTTGTCAAGGCTCGCGACCGCCTCCTGAGTAAGGTTAAGGCAGACCAGGAGCGCCTGAAGCAGCTCGACGCTCGTGCCGCGGAAACGACCGAGGAGGTAGTGCGCATGAAGGAGAGGCTGGAAGACCTCGAGTCGGACCTCAAGGCAGACAGAAAGGGGGACGTGGCCCAGAATAAGGTGATGTGATATCATGCGGATGTGCCTCGATTTCGATTTGTTCTTCCCATGTTTTTTTGTGCTTGCGCTGGTGTTGGCGCTGTGGAAGGTGTGAAGTTCTGGCTTGGGACTGGAGGTGACTAAATAGCGTGGTGTGAGTTGTGTTTTGAGGTCGTAAAGGGAGTGTACGGTCTGCTGACGTGGTGCAAAATGAATGTGGTTTCGTTTGTTTTTTGGGGCGCGTACCGCGCCGTGGTGTGGCGCGACGCATCACGTGGAGCGTACTGTTGGGACTTGGCGTGATGTCTTGAGCGTGGTGTTCTGTGCTGTGGAGCGTTTTGATGTGGTGTGACTTGATGTGATGTGACGGGGCTTAACGAGATATCTTGTAACGCCCCCCCCCCGAAATACGTAGAATAAGAGCACCTTTTTCGCAGCTAGCTGCGGCAAGTACAAGGGAATCGACAGTAGCAACAACGACGGAGGGTTACCATTTGGAAGAACACTTTCGTACAATTTTCACAGCGGGAAGGACGGAGCAGCAGTAACGTCCAACTCGACTATTATCAACTATCGGAAAGCAGGAACTACAACAAAGACATCAACATGAACTAACCTACCAAACCACCAACCGACGCAAAAGGTGGAGGTGCTACAGAAGCGGGACAAGGAGATGACGGACTTCATAGAGAAGTTCGACCAAACCAAGCAGGAGGCCCTCGACGACCAGCGGTCGGCAAGGTCCACGATCGTCGGCCTCCTGGAGCACATCAGCACAGGCCTCGAGTCTCAGCACCACATCCCGGACAAGGGCGGCATGAGGGTGAGCGAGCCGCGCACAGCCTACAGCCGCTGCCCCGCAATTGGGGGACAAGTTTGGACGGTTGTTTTTTTTCACATTTAAGACCGGTCTTTGCTTAGTGCCTTGTAACATACATACCGGTCCAACGGACGCGGACGCCATCCGCGGTTACGGGTAATTTTTTTTTTCTCAGCTCTTGATACCTGATTAAGCCCAAAAAGATTAAACCGAAACCGAAAGGTTAAGCCGAGAAGGATGAACCGAAGAAAACGAAAAAGTTAAGCCGAAAAGGGTAAGCCGAAACGTGAAACCGAAAACGTGAAACCGAAACGGTTGCACCGATCAAACTACACCGAACAGGACCGAAAGGTTTAAGCCCAACAGGGTCACCCGAAAAGATTAAACGAAACTGAAATGAATGGCAAAGCCGAAAAGATTAAACCGAAAAAACCGAACAAGTTAAGTCGAAAACGTGAAACTGAAAAGGTTCAGCCGAAAAAAGGATAAACTGAACGTGAAAAACGTGAAACCGAAAAGGTTACGCCCAAAAGGTAACACCGAAAAGGTTCAGCCGAAAAGATTAAACCGAAAAACCAAAAAAGTTAAGCCGAAAACGTGAAAAAACCCGAAAAGGTTACACCGAAAAGGTTAAACGAAACCGAAAAGAAGGTTAAACCGAAAAGATGAAACCGAAAAAAACGAAAAAGTTGAACCGAAAACGTGAAACCGAAAAGGTTAAGCCGAAAAGGATAAACCGAAACGTGAAACCGAAAACGTGAAACTGAAAAGGTAACACCGAAAAGGATAAACCGAAACATTTACACCAAAAAGGACCGAAAAGTGTTAAAACAGCTAAAAAGACGCTCATACAAAACGCTCATACATCTCTCACCTTCGTAGCTGAGTACGGTATGTGCGTGGACCTTCGTAGCATAGTACAGTTCGTGCGTAGACCGTTTCCTCGGGGCTGGGAATCAGTGTGATGTAGGGGGGTTGCGCTTACCTGTTGTCGTTGTCTCTCCCGGATGGTATCCATTCCTTGTACGGTATCAAGCAAATAGTGTCGCAGCTTGCTGACGACCTACGTGCGAATGACGACCGTGAACACGTACATCTCATAGCGTACGGTATCATCCCATCATCACATGTTAGCATGACTTAGTGAGGCATGCGATAGACATGTTAACGGGTGATAGCGTCCACTTTAACAGGCTTTATCATCTTCCGTACACATGGGGGGTGTTAAGTAAACACCGGGTGGGTAGCAACGTTCGCGAAAACGTGCCACGGAGAAACATGTTGAAGTTGTCTCTTCTTCGTAGATGCGGCATAACCGCCGCCTCTTCGAATCCTCTTGAGGGCAAACAGGGAAGCGTCCGATACTTCAATTCCTGTTTATGGCCCCCATACCCCTAGCGCCGCGACCACCGGGCAGTCACGGCCCATCAGAGTATTTTGTGTAGATCCTACGCGCAGCCGCCAAAACAGACACTCCTCCAATAAAGACATGAGTTCAGCTTTTGTGCGAGGTGTTAGCTGCCCCATATTCGCTTCCGACAGGTCAACCTTTTTTAACTCAGAACATCCCAAATCGGCAGCACTCTCTACTGAGAGAACGTTACTAGCAGGAGCCTGTTCAACAGATATATCTTGCCGCGTTTCATCCAACAAAGTCATGCGTTCCACGTCTGTAGCATTCATGGCATAAACCGTCGCTATAGCCCTTCCCTTCTGGAGCTTGATGGGAGCATTAGTAAGATCAACCATTTTACTCCTTGTTGGTGTTTATGGGTACCACCATTGGATTCCTTGTGCTGTCCCTAAATCTACTCCTAGCTCAAGATCATAAGCAGGGAGCGGACCGGTCTGGCTTCGACCGGTGGCCTAAGGGAGCGAGAAATCAGTTGCGGTGTGTTCTCCCCTCTCTGACAAAAAGCGGCTCTTTTTGCTGTCTCGTGGCGGTTTGGCCTGTTTCGGCGTCTCCATGCTTGGCGTTATGCGATATGTTTTTTTAACGCACGCGTGCCGAGCGACCATCAACAGCCAGCGTGCAGAACAGCAAACCCTTCAGCGTAGGGTTGCTCGGAGCCCTTGATGGGAGCGATACGCCAAGAACTCAGGTCGCACTCGCCGATTATGTCGTCTGGGTTCACCAGCGGTGAACTTTTTTGGGTCAGAAAATCTGGGTGTGCACCATCCTGATTTCTGCCAAGCTTCTCGGGTGGACGCAACCCAAAAAGCTGAACCTGGATTTTGTCGACCCAAAAAACTGAAGAATCTGGCCGTCCGTGTAAGAAGCCGGAATTTTGCCCATCCTGAAAAGTGAAGCTTTTTGGGCAAGGAATCCAGGTGTATAAGAAACAGCATAAGGACCGAAAAGGTCAAGCCGTAAAGGTTAAGCCGGAAAGATTAAACCGAAAAAAACGAAAAATTTAAACCGAAAACGTGAAACTGAAAAGGTTATAAGCCGAAAAGGATATACCAAAAACGTGAAACCGAAAGCGCCAAAAAAAAAAGGTTAACCCGAAAAGGACCGAAAAGAAAGGATAAGCCGCAAAAGTACCTCCTGCGCAGTGAGTGTCCCGGAGCCACTCGGGGCTCGGTATCATCGGTGCTATCGCACCCCCGTGCGATATCCCCGAACCCTGTGCGACAATCGAATTAAATCACTAGGTTCTTGGTTTTTTATCGTACGGGGGTGCGATATCACCGGCCGGTACTTGCGATATCACCGGTCCCCGTGCGATAGTCGAATTAAATTATTTGGTTGTTGGATTTCATCGCACGGGGGGGGTTACGATGTCACCGGTGCGTGCGATACTGAGTAAACAATAAACCCTACAGCAGCAGTACCGTAGTCCCGTGGGTGCTTTCGACGCATACCCC